TTGGATATGCAAATGATTCTCCTGGTGCTAGCCCCATCCCATCCCTCCCCTTCCCACAAAAAAAAAAAGATGGAGACCATTAAAAAAATATTACACACACACGCACACACTTACATATAAAAAATGCGTTATCAGAGGCTTGAGGCGCCTCAAAGCTGGAAGATGAGAGTATCAAAGTGAGGCTTCTTCCAAATGTTGGATATGCAAATGATTCTCCTGGTGCTAGCCCCATCCCATCCCTCCCCTTCCCATGCCATCCTCCTCTTACCATATTTACACATGCACCTCCATCATCACGCCTGCAGCGTGCGCGACAGTGAGATGTAGATTAAAATAAAAGCGGCAAATTAAAGCAGCCCCATGGGGGAAGCGACGCCGTTTTAAGTGCAAATTGAACATGTGACTCGGTATTCCTATAAAGTCATGGATACATAAATAGTGTGTGTGTGTGTGTGTGTGTGTGTGTTGGTTTCACATTTCATTTTTATTGCGTCTTATCAGCATGCACGTGAGTACGTCCTCTCCAAACGGGTAAAAAAAAAATGAAAATCTTTTGGGAAGCTCCCCCAAGAAGATGACACAAAAACGGCTTCCTCCGCACCGCCTCTCTTGACTCTCTCCCTCGTTGTTACGGAAGAAGCATAAAAATAGCCACGTCCTCCCCGTGGAGACGGATTAACAAAATGAAGAAGGAAAAAAGAAGAAAAAGACATTTGGGACTCGGGGAGCGTCTCTTTTGTGGACTCGCTCAAATGCGCACGCACACACACACACACACACACACACACACACACACACACACACACACACACACACACACTCCCTCGAACACGATCAAAAACCAAACAAAACACAAAAACGAAGACACGGCTGCACGCAGAAACAAAACAGACAAGGCGTTTGCGCGTTGTACATTGCGAGTCAAATCGTGCACTTTGTGCCTCGTCAAGTCACACAAAGGAGCAAAACTAAGTGAGACGGAAAAGGACGATTTTTCGATCAGCCGAAACGGTCCCAAAAACACTTCGCTGGGCCGGATGCACGCGCGTGGATTAACACGCTCGCGTCACCTACCATAGTATCACATCGCAGAAGTGCTCAGCAATCCTCGTTCTCACGAATGATGACGAAAGACGGAGAAGCCATGCTCATCGCTAAGCTAACCTGCCGTCAACTGAAAATGAGATCGTAGTGCCGCAGGGCTGAAGCAACAACCAATTATCACACATTTGTTCGTTGGGTTTGGTCATGTGACGTTCGCAAATAAAATGGCTGCCCCGTAAAATGGATTAAAAAAAAAGTTAAAGGATTCATTTTGCTGCTTAATTCATATTCCACAAATGCAATGTCAATATCGATTACTGTAAAGGGAAAAAAAAGGACTTGACTTCCCCTTTAATCTATAAAAAAAAAATGCACCTCAGAATTGGAAAATTGTCCTCAAATGAAGTCAATGATTAGCAAAACTGCTCCCACGGAAAAAAAAAAAAGTTATTTCGAATCTTGCAAACAACAGCAACACACACGTTCACACACACATCCCCGCACACGCAGACACATCCGTTGGAGGCATAATATGAATAAGAATCTGATGTGCGGCTGATATTTAAACAGTTCGCCATGGCAACAGGCTGCGCCATGGCCAAGCTAAAGCGCCGCACTCTGGATGGAGATGATACAAATGAAAGGCAAATCTGGATGGTTGCCGGGGAAACGCAGGAGGAGGAGGTGAAAGTCCAACCCAAACACACCTTAAAGCTATTTAAGTGACACTGGCCGAGGGTGGGGGGAGAGAAAGTACTTGGGTGGAGGGGACGCGTTCGTTGACAGCCGTGCGCTGCAAAAAAAAAAAAAAACTCGCTCGACCTGCCAGGCAGTTTGATCCCACTTCAAAATCCTCCATGTGCTCTTCACGAGTGTGTGTGTGTGTGTGTGTGTGTGTGTGTGTGTGTTTGAGGTCGCACAGTAACCCAAAAGAATAGAAATGCTTTGTTTTTATGTGGCTCTTCCCGCAGCTCATCCCCTACTTTATTTCCACCATTGTCAAGTGTTTCTTTTTTTTTTCCGGAAAAACAACCCAAAATATTTTTTTTTTGTCGTTGTTGTACATACAAGGTCTGGGGGGGAGGACAAAACAACATTCTTGCAAAGCGAGTGCGGACGATCAGACTTATCGTAGAACTTTTTTTTCCTCTGAAATGCAGTTTTTCTTTAAAAAAAAAAAAAAAGATGATACGTAGGAAAGGAAGTAAAACTTTGCTCGGATGACAACCAAAAGTTACTTTAAAATACAAAAATTTCTCTTGACATTTTGACAGATTTCACACCCCAAAAAATGTCAAAAAGCATTTGTCGACAAAACGTGCAACTTAAAAAAAAAAAACAATTGAAAAATACATTCAATGCAAAAATATTGGGGGGGTTTGACAGTTTTTTCTTTACACATTTCTTCAGGCCCTTCTGACTGACACAAACAACCAAAACGGTTTTTGAAATGTGAATTCATTCTTGACAAAGATTTAATTTAACCATCTCGCATTTTCTTTATTTTTGTTTTCATTTCTCCACAGTGTTTTGACATAAAACAAACCTTAGATCAGTAAAATCATCACATTTTCAGTTTTTATAAAAATGCCCCCCTCCTCCCCCAAACACACACACACACACAAAATGTGTTAACACTTGCTTTCCGGTCGTTTTACATATTTTAAGCGCATGCAACAAAGGCGATTTTGTGCTGTGAATTTGTGACATCTGATTAAAAAGTGCAATTGATGCAGAAGGTGCCCTTAGTTCACGTTGGACGTCAGAGCACCTGGAATGTCCCTCGGAGCGCCGTCTTCTTCCATCCACGCAGACTTTTGTCAAGCTCCAAATTCCTCCGAGTCAAACCTTGACCAAAGTTAATATTTGATCCCAAAGACTTTTGACTTTTGCCCTAAGGAAGTCTTTTTGTGTTTGTGTTTTTTTTTTTTTTTTTTTTTAAAGATGCCTCGCCCTTTGATTTGTCACAGCGTTTCTCATTTCAGCATCTTTCTTTGGGTGTCTTCCAATTAAAATCGCTTCTTCACATTTCTCATTCGGGAGAGAGGCGGCAGCCAGCGTCGTCGATTCGATTCATTTGAGTCCTTTTCATTAAATAAAGCTCAAAGTATGTAAAGAGTGCGGCAGTGATTTAAATGATTTAATGCCCCCCCTCCCCCACTGCACTCTCTGGACTCTCAAGGCTGTCTGGCATATTTTTGCATTTGGCAAACATGTTGACGGCTTTTAATTGAAATTTCTAAAACTCCAAAATACATACCGGGAAACATGTGAGGTCCATGAAAGACTCAAATTAGTTTAAAAGCGAAAAGGAACCGCTGAGCGTTTAACAAATACTTTTTATGTGAAATAAATATCGTTTTTTGTTTTTTTTTTTAAGTCATTTTGTAATTATATTTAAAGCAACATGAAGATAGTTTTAGCTAACCTCCCATTTGGCCTCAGCCCAGCATTCTTTTGGTGTTGATGAGAGAACACCCCCCCGCCTCCAAGAGAAACATCCGGAATGTCCCACTCCCATCTATTCTCTTTTGTTTGGATGCCGTGAAGTGGCTTGAAGGTGCTTTGAAAGGGTTCTTGTGGCCCTCGACGAGTGGCGGTTGTGTAACGCACAAAACACGCGCGCGCGACGCCGATAAGCACAAATGGAGCGACACGAGTGGCGTTTAAGAGTAACAGTCGGCAGGGCTCTGATCCCAGAGCCAATTAAAACAAAGTGCGATTGACCCCCCCCCCCCCACACACACACACAGGCGCGCGCACAAATACAAAGTACATCCCAAATTAAACAGGCTCACAGATAATCAGAACTGACAATTGACTCCATTTGCTGTTTAACACCCCACGCGCACTCCACCCACGCACAACGACCGAATGTGCACCAATCCCGGCGGGCACGTCGACTTCACTGCAACTCATTGCCCGCTTCGTTAGCGTCACAACTAAGCACAGAAAGTAAGAGAACCTTCGTTGATGCTCAAGCTCAAAATGTGTCCTGAATATGACATGAATTCAAAACAAATACAGTGAAACATGGACGGACGATACCGATAATGACCCCCCCCCCCCAACTGGAATGCATTGACATTTTTTTTTTTTACGTTTGAAGAAAACAAGCACTGCAACATATAAAATGTCAGAAAAATAATAAAAAAGAGCATCCATTAAAAAAAACCCAACTAGTATCATAATGTAAAATTACTGGAGTAGTCGTCTTTTGGATGTGTAACTAGAAGGAGGGGTGTGGCCTCGTCAGTGACATCAGAAACTGGCGTCACAGTTCAGTGTGAGTTTTTACTCCGCTTAAAAAAAAAAAATCCTTGAAAGTGCAACAGCGATGTCGCTCTCCTTGCCCACATGCAAGGGCATTTAATTGTCCCATTAAAAAAAAAAAAGAAAAAAAAAGTAAAAACTCACAAGGTAGGGTGCTAGCAAGTCAAGCTAGCACGACTCAATCCGAAGTGCTGACTCGGAGCGGTCGTAGTTGAAGAAGACATTCGTATCCTTAATTTATGAGTCACTGATCCTGGCACGGCAGCGGGCGGCCGTCGGCACTGAGGAAGGCGGAAGTCATTGATGGCGGCTGGTCCAGGATCGGACCGAAGGCTGAAAGGGCACCGCGACATTGGTTGAGGCGCACCATTGAGAGTTCTGCATTGGTGGACAGCAACTTTTGTTAGCATTAGCATTTCTTGGCTAGTTGCAGGTTTAGACAGTGGATAGAAACACTCCGTGATGGCATTTGAATGACTTAAAACTAAGGTCAGAATTTGAAGGCGTTAATATTGACGAAAAGCAAAATGGTTGGCAATTTAGGGTTGAGTAGAAGTGCTTCAAAATTGGGAGCAGTCGGGACCGAAAAAAACAAATCTAGAAGGAATTTATCTTTGAGAAACCTTGAGGAAAAATTGGCCAAATGATGTTTAAAAGGGCCTCTTTGAACCATAATTGCAGACTTGATGTTTTTTTTAATTATTATTATTATTTTTTTTAAGGCATGGGTTTCCGAGCGTGGCTTTGTTCGCGTGGAGGGTTCGCGCAAAATTCCATGAATCGCCTTCATCGATGTGAGTTTTGAAACACAAGGTCGAAGACATTTGAAAACCCAGTGGACACTCTGGCGTTTTTTGTTGCAAATATAAGACCGGCAAACACAGCAACTGAGTCACAGTGTTTAGCGATTGAATCGGTCGATGGCGCCGCAGTGTTTCGGACGGATGTCAACGCATTTTGTTTCTGAGTTGCCGTGGAAACCCCCCACCCCCACCCCCACCCACCTCTGAATGCACTTTTGAATTGTTGACTGGTCTCAGGTTAAGCAGAGCGCAAAACGTGTTAGCACCACCGCGTAAGCGTCCGACTGATCCAGCATCAGTGACGCTAAACCAAAAACAAACTGCAACATAGACAGTTGCCGTGGTCGCAATCGTCGTGGAAACAGACGAGGGGGGGGGGGGGATGCGACCGTGCGGTGGTGGTCGGCGTCACATTGCCAGGCCACGGGCCTTGGCGGCGGCTGCCTGAGCCTTCTGGACCGCCACCTGACTGTTCCCCCGTCTCATCAACTGGCTGCTCTCAAAGACGCCCTCATGGACGCCGCCGCCGTCCACAAACGTCAACAGTCCTGTGGGGGACACGCATATTTTAAAACCACTTTGAGGCCACTTTCGGTCAACACGCCGGGACAGTGTTCCTTTGTGCTATATTCACCGGTTGCGCTAACACAATTTTTAAGTGGGTTCTACTTGTTTATTGGAATGCCCTCAAATGAGGGAAAGGAGAGCAGCAGTCGGTGCACTTGTCAGACGTTGATCAAAGGTCATGGGATGGGTTAAAAAAAAAAACACTTCACACATTGAGCACACTCATGCAGGAGCTGCTGTCGACCACAACTCGCACGCAGGCACTCGCGCACAGAAGCACCAGGGCCCGCCTCCTAAAGGCACGTGCAGTGTCTAACAAGCTATTTATTTATTTATTTATTCATTTTTTAGCTGTCAGCCGTGGAGCTCAAACCACAATGGCACTCAAATACCTGAGCCAAGACTCAATCATTTGCCTTGAGGTCCAATTGACTCCAGATTCCGAATTTCTTCTGAGGTAGGAGAATGAAATTCCGCATACAAACAAAAACTCTAAATCGGGGCTGCCCAAGTCCAGTCCTCAAAGGTCCCATCCTCTTTTAAATGCACCTAAGTGAAGTGATGAGCTCATCAGCAAGCTTTCCAGAAGCCTGTTAACGATTACAGACTATTTGAATTGGAGGTGGGGGTGTGGGCATGTAAAACAAGCTGGAGAGGGGCTTCGGATTGTCATTTTTCATCACAATTCATATAAAAATGCAAACTCCACACCAAATGACCACTATTTGATCATGTCAAGTAAACGTTCACATTACATTTATATTGCAATCTGGATCAGATCTGGATCAGACCCCCCCCCCCGCCTTTTTATTTTTTAATTTTTTTGTCGATTTAGTTTTTAATGTTTTTGTTCGGCAGCCATAGTGCACGCGTGCCACATCACAACAAGTGGACTTGAGTCAGCGACGCAAGCATTTCGGTTAAATGTTAGCCAAACACCACATTAATGTTTAACCCCGAGACATCATTTCGGGCTCCACATTTGGCCACTCCTAAAAAAAGAAGGAAAACACACCTATTGACTGCTTGTTTCCTTTTGGCTTTGAGCAGCAGTCGACTTCACCCCGTCATTATGGTACCTTACACACGGGACTGGGAAAAGTGCGATTTTGATGGCCAGTGTGAAAAAAGACCCGTATTATGCTTCTGATGCGACCACTCTATTTAGCCTTTGCACAAAACAGCGTTTAAAAACAATTAGGGGGGTGCGGGGGTAATGTGAAAGAGGCTCATCTTACCGGAACCTTTCACACATCCGCTCCGAAAGTCGCCCTCGAACGTCATCCCATCGAATCGCGTAAAGACGCCGGCGCCCTGAAACTTGCCCTGCACGAACTCTCCTTCATACCTGAACAGCACCAGAAAACATTCGACATTCAATGACCGATATCCGAAATAGTTCTCACAACATGCGGGAGGCGTCAAAGGCGGACTTGGAACCGTCGGCGAAGACCAGCACGCCGCAGCCGTTGAAGAGCCCGTTCTCAAACTGGCCCGTGTAGCACGTTCCGTTGCTGAAAGTCAGCTGGCCGCGGCCGTGACGCAGACCTGCGAGAAGAAATACTCTGTGATGGTTATCGCCTGCAAACGTTTGTGGGTCCGCTCATGATAGACTGGCTTCCGGGGACGAATTAAAAAAAAAAAAAACAACCCAAATTTAATAAAAAAAATTCGACCACAAGATAAACTTTCAAAACTGAATGACCTCTTGAAAAACATCCAAAGTGACTTTAAAAGATCTGCTTCCAATCAAAACGGTTGACATGCAGTGTTTTTTCAGGCATGGCTTTTTGAGACATTTTTTTTGTGGGTCTACTCATGACCCAAAGGTGCACTATATTAAATTTCATGTAGTTAGGTGACTTTAATTAAAACAAAAAAAAAAACAAACAAAAAAAAAAACACACTGAAACAAACGGAACTGTTCACCTCATCGAATGCTGCTTTCACGCCCACATGCAAGTCCAAAAGTCAAATGTTTCACAATTTTGCGTTATCAGTCCAATTACGTGGGAGCAATCAGACAAAATTTCTAGGAAGAGTTGGACTTTGAAACTAAGGACTGCTGAAAAAGGAGCTTCAAAACAGAATGGCAGACTTTCGGTATCTTTTCACGCATGGCTTCCTGAGACTTTGCGTGGGTGTATTGACTGTACACGTCCACCAAATTTCCATGTTACAGAGTCAAACTGGCTTCGGAGGCTGAGTTTTAAATTATCCAACCAAGGCAAAATTTTCACACTGGTGACGTAGCCCCTGCCCACAATGTCCAGAAGTCAAAAGAAGTCACGTTTCATGGTTTATCAGTCTTGTACACAGTATGTGGTCTCAATTTTGTCGTAGCAATCACAAAAATCCCTTAGGGGTGGTCTTTAAAGGATCCCGAAAAAGTGGCCAAAATGTGCTTAAAATGTCCACTTCTAGCCAAAACGGCTCACTTCCCGTGTCTTTTCAAACATGGCCACTTGACACTTTTGAGTGGGTCGACTCACGATAGATGTGTGTACCAAATTCCGTGTTGCGAGGCAAAATGGGGCTTCAGGAGCTCAATTTTTTTATTCTAAACAATCCATTCAGACTCTACTCGACTGTAAACGCGGAAAAGAAACACAAGAAAAAAGTCACGAAAGGAAAAATGAAAATCATAAGTGCACAAATGGAAATGAAAGTCGACGTGATGTGGATGATCAAGACAGTGTTTTCGTTCTGACATCACTGGAGATTATTTTTAGAAGCGTGTTTCATAAACGCTAATAAACTCGACGACGCCTTCTTCCTGAGCAAAGATGAATTGTATCATGATATTTTTTTGTTTTGTTTTTATTTGTCTGTCGGATTTGAGCGGTGAAATCCCGCCAGAGTGACACCTCCTGTCATGGCGGTCTCCGAGCTGTCCCGGATGACGTCCCCGCGGTGCGCCGCTGACAAAACCACTTTGTCACGGCTGGCGTGCGTGGGCGCCAGCTAGGCCAACGCGAGCTTTGGTCGTAAGACGTCACGGCTGAGTGACACCAAAGACAAAAACTCCAAAGCTGACAACCAGTATAGCTTTTGAGAAGATTCCTGACAACGGCAGTTGGAAAGGGCATTCCCTTTTGCAGGGAGACCTCGAAAATGATCCTCAAACTTGAGCACCAGAGTCTGTACCACATTACAATCTGTCCAGGATATCAGTTACCGATTTGTCCTTTTTTGGATGAATTCCTTGTTCGGCATCTGTCGAAGGAATATACCGCAAAATGTCTGCTTCAAACCAAAATGGCTGACTTTGTGCTCAGTTTTGGGTACAGGTTCTTTAAACTTCAAATAATCATGTCCCCAGAGGTAATTCTGGCAATATTTGGCGCCCCCCCCCTCCCCCCCGTTGGCTTGCTACAGCTAGCACCATGCTAGCAACACTAATATTTGGCCGGGTCCCGCCTTGGCCAAAATTGAACAGGAAGTCAGCCATTTTGTGCAATTTCAAGGCTTCGTACTTTGACAAAGTCCTACAAGGGAATTCTTCTCACAACTGTATACTTGACAGATGGGCTAAACTATGTGTTTGTGAGTCAGTTGCTTAGTAGCGTTACCTCTATTGGTTGGTCAACCAATTAGTTTGACTCTGTCAGTCACTCAAATGAAGTCATGTTAGTCATGAAGCTTGGAAGTTAGTTGGTCAGCTAGTCAGTTGGTTGGTTCATTGGTCTGTTTAAATATGAGTCCTTAGTCATGTAATAGAAGTCAATCACTCAGCCTGTAAGTTGATAAGTTGGTCAGTCACTCATTTAGTTAGTTCGTTCATTTATTAGCAGGACAGTCAGGTAGTCGGTCATCGTGTTACTCGTTACTCAGTTGGTTTATTAATCAGCCAGTAGGTTACACAAACTCGGGAATTCATCAAACTCATCCCCAAATAGTAGCATACTAATGCAAAATTGGGAAAATCTCGCGTTTCGGTGATTGCACGTGGGTGGAGGATGGCATCAAAGAAGATGAGTTTGCGGCTTTGCCGTGAAAAAGGAGGCACGGTTCAAATGCGTTTTTTTTTTTTTTTTTGGTGTTTAGATCAAGGCGGGATTGGATGGCGTGTGATGAAGGACTTGAGAAGAAAGCCAGCTCATGTGCGCTTTTTTTTCTTTCTCCCTTCCGTCATGTGAATATTCCGAGGTCTCATTTCACATTTGAATATTCCCAGCGGGTGCATGAGAGCAGCGAGCACTTCTCGTTAGCAAACGAGGCCGATAAGTGGCTTCGGGTTCCTCGCAGGAGTTCTAAGTGAGGAATGTGATTTAGTGGCGTTTAGGGGGCGGATAGGAAAAGGTGGCTGACGGGGTCGGGAGGGAGCAAGGGGGGGTGGGTTGTCGGCGTTGTCAGCGGCTTTATAGCGGCCAGCCAGTTTGCTAATGGCGAAGTAAATTAACGCTCCATCTGTCAGAAGAGTGCGCTTCACTCTTTAATCTTAGCGGGTGATTTGGACCAGAGATTTGGACAAACTAAGTCCGGATGGCTTTGCTCTTCTCAAACACGTGAATGTATACAGTATACATCACACATATTAGCGTGTGTATGCAAACCCTACACCAGTTAAGTATTTCAAGGCTAATGGCGGCTTTAAGAAAAACCAGGAGGCACTTCCTGGGTGGAGTGGGGGCTCCAACCCTGGGGGTGGTTTTACAACCAAATGACAAAGAGTCAAGATTTTTGCCGTTCAGCGTGATCTGTCCAGATGGGACTCCATTTTGGTGAATTCCCGAACACGAGTCCAGCAAACTGACAAACAGACTCAGTCACTAACAAACTGTACTGAAAGACTGACTCACCGAGAAAGGGACTGACTGACTAGCCAACTGATCTACTGGCTAGCTAAATACGGACCGACTCACTGGCACAGACTCGCTTTGAGCTAACCAACTGACCGACGGACTGGGTAGCTCACTTGCCGACGAAAGCCTGTCTCCCACTGAGCGGTGAAGCTTGGCAAAGGGTCCGTTGACGGTCGCCAACACGTTGGGCACCAGTTTTAGCGGTCGCGAGCAAGTGTTCAAAGCTTCTTTGCGATTAGGAAAACTGTGTGCAAATGCCCGGCGAGCGTCTTTGCGACCATTGGCGGCCTTGAGCGGACCCTGACGCAAAATCAACATTCGCGACGTTCGCGTATCGCTAAGTGGGAGACCGGTTTAATGGTCTCGCTGACTAACTAATTGAGTGACTAACTAACCAATATAGATGACTGGTTTACTCACGCCTACTAGTTGACGAAATAAATGACTGACCATTAGTGCGGTGCATCTCTGCACAGAAGACAATTCAAGACAGTTTTTTTGTTCTGAGGGGTGCGAAAATGAACCAAGCACGGTTCAGTTTACAGATTACAAAAAATATATTTATTGAAAACAACCTGAATTTATTATGATTCATACACACTGGGACCTCTGACAAGGTTTTCTTATCTTATCTTATCTTATCTTATACACACTGGGACCTCTGAAGTTGGATGCCACTGAGGATTTTAGACAAGATTCAGTTGTTAGTGTTTTTGTTTTTCTTTGTTTGTGGCACTAAGTCAGTTGGGAACAGATTTTGGTATTCTTCACAATTTGTGACGGTCATAAAAATTGTGTTTTATTTTGATTGCTGGAGTGTGGGTTTGAGTGACAGATTATCCGCGGATAATGTCCTGTGCTCGGACTTGATCCGTCCAGTCGGGACATAATCCGCAGTTCAGCTCCTTTTGGTCGCAGTCACTGGCTAATTGCGGATGCTAAACGTGCGAGTGGGTGTTTAAAAAGCCTTCCGGCTGTCATGGATGATTGGTGACCTACTTCCTGTAACCTGATCACCCGCTGAATTATTCAACACCGCACTTATTAATTTTTTTTGGGGGGGGGGGGGAATCGCAATACCATTCCCAGTCAATAGCTTGGACTAATTATAACTTTATTCTATTAAAATGACTACAGTTCACCTCAAAAATATAATACTACTGTATCTCTGGAAAATACTGTATACACAAATCTTTTTTTTCGCTCTCATAATATCAGGCCATTCTTCTAGAACTGGGACTTAAAAAGATTTGACTTTAATCTCCAAATATGTTCACGTTTTTTAATTCCAAAACTAGGTATTTATTCCTGTAAATATATTTTTTCTTGTCAATGTATTAATTCTCGACTGTGCCATGATGGCTATGTTCACCCTGCAGGGTGTGATGCCCAATTCCTATTTTTTTGCAAAATCCAATCTTTTTATGTCGTTGTTTGCGTTGCAAAAATAAATGTGACTTCTAATGTGAAGGCAACGCGTCGACGTCATGTGGCCCGCTGTTTACGGAAGTAAATATGGTCCTGTGTGTAGGGGATTTATTTTATCATCTCATATCGACAGAGTCGCGAGGAGGTAGAAATGTTTTGGTGGTATGAGGCAACACTCCTCGATTTCCTTATTTCATGGAGACGCTGACTAAAGAGATCCTTAAAAAAATATGTAGAGGCATATATTCTAAGATTTTGAACTGTATTCTCAAAAAAAACAAAAACAAAAAAAATTTTATGCTTTCAAGATTACATCTTTCTCTGAAACATACAGCTTTGTTTTCGTAGGACAGCCTTTTTTTGGGTGTTTTTTGACCACCCAAACTACTTCAATACCTCAACGGTTGCCAAGCAGCTGCTTCAACGTTTTTGTTGTTATTGTCTACAGAATGTTGTGTAGTGAAAACAAAGAGGACAGGGCAGCCAAAGCAGTCGCCACTGTTTGCTTGCTGACGCGGCCGCGAGCATATGTTCACCCTTCGCCGCCTTGGCGGGCGTATTGAACCTTGGCCCAAAGTGTTTAAACAACAATAACAACAACAAAAACCTGCAAGGAGAAATTCGGGCTGAGGTGGCGTGATGGCGAGTCCAGGTGCGTATTCCTCGCTTATTGCCTTCACGTCTTCTTCAAGGAAACTTGTTCTTTCACACTGAGTGACAACCACGACCAATCGCTACTGGAATGGTCGACATTGGAAACAAATATTTTTCCTATTCTTTCTTCAAAAGGAGCTAACGTCAATATATGGTCACATCAGACAGGACTTAAAACAGAAACATTAGTCACAGGAGGGTCCGGGAGGGGGAATAGTACATGCTGACTGAGTGATCTGGTATGTTCTTGTAACCATACATGACATGACATGACATGACTCTCTCAGCTCGACCTCCAGGCCTCCTTGCCACAAAGCGCTTGCTTCAGCACATGGGGGAAAAAAAACATGACCTACACACGCATGAAGCGTCTTCATCATCATGCGTGTAGTGTGACTGTGATGATGAAGACAATGATGAAGTTGAGCTGGGCTATCATGCAACAGATGCGTTTGCGCCGCGCATTCCAACGTTCGCCTTCCTTGCCTTCTCGCCATTCCCCGTGGTATTCCTCGCCGCTTGAGTATGTGAAGGAACCTCGTGTCAGGGTCATGGATCCTGTACACACGCACGCACGCATGCGCGCGCACACACACACACACACACACACACACACACACACACACACACACACACATTTTTATCTGATTAATCGATGGAATCATTGATTCTAAAAATATCCGATTGTGACAGCCCAAGCTAGTGCTCTGGCCCGGTGAAAGACGAATGTAAAATCTGATTGCTTAGAGAAAAGATCCGTTTGCTAACAGTCGAAGTGACCTGGGTCACCACGATACCTATTTTCAATGTTCCATCTGGAGAAACAAGCTTTTCGATTGACGCGGTAACATGTAGAATTCTGCTTGGACAAAATAAATAAATAAAAAAATCCACATTCACATACTGGAAGCAGTGCAGCCAAATCAAACACAACAAAATTAATTTAATGGAACAAACTGCATTTATGTTGTACATTTCGGTAATGTTTCTGATCATGTTTAGGCCAGCAGAGTCGATCTTGCTGGCATTGCATGGATCCATAATGTTGTTTTATTGGGGTTTTTTTTTTGCATTGTTTGCATGCTAAATGAAACGGTGCTGACCCTACAGTGGCACTGATGTAAGACGTTTTGTTTTTTTTACATTTTTTTTTTTACACCCTTTTTTGTTTCATTGTCACTACCAGAGCTAGAAGGACACATTAAACGTTATTGTTTGTTAAGTGCCATTGTTTGTTGCTGATGTGTGATGAGCTGAAAAGGGGAAGCGGAGGAGGAGGAGGAGGAGGAGAAGAAGTAGGAGGAGGAGTGTCTCCGCGCCATCGAATGTTGCCACAGTAACGGCGCCCGGATCCCTGTCATCCTGCCGGCATCGGGACTGCCAGCCCCCAATCAAAACACACACAAATACACGCACGGGGAACAAAAATAACGGTTTTACCTGTTCGATAAAACAGCGAACTCGGTTGTCTACATCGCTGAGCACAGCGCCGACAGATCAGCTGCTCGCGGTGACAAATTAGCCTTTCCTTCGCCGACACTTTCCCCCCCGGAAGTCCTGTCAAAGCAGCGCCAAGGTGCCGCGTCCAGATTGGTGCGCCGCGCGCTGTGATTCAAACTGCGCTCCGATTGGCTGGATTCTGACTGCTGCGCGTCGCGAGTCCCGACATATTTGTCGAGGGCAACGGGTTCAACGACTTAATTAGCAGGAGTGCTCTCGTCTTTAAAACGTTTGCCCTTGCCGCTTTTTATGTGCGGCAGAATTACAAAAGGGCGGCGAGCTTTCCCCCTTTTAATGACACGGTGCCATTTCGCGTTTCAATTTGGTGATTAGGACCGCGTTTTTTTTTTTTTGGTAGGTTTTTATGGAACTTGATTTAGTAGCGGGGCAGCTGCGGCAGAGCCTGTGACAAGATGGCGTGGACGTTCAAAATAACAGCCCTATGGCCTCTGCCTCAATTCACTAAAAAGCTGACCAAGGTTTTTTTTTTCTTTTAAACCAGCAAGGTGACCGAAATTAGAAAGCACTGACTTCCTGGGAATAAATTAAGGCAGGCTAGTGATTATTATTTCCCCAAGTGTGGAGTTCTTTGCCCAAAAACACGCACACAAAGGGAAAGCAGTACAGTCCAGTGGCAGCAAGTAAGAAACTACTTTGTATCTGTAGAACATTTGCAGGCTCTATACGTAACTTGCATTGTTAATTTTCTAATGATGTTTTAGCAACTGGTTAGCACATCCTGGTCACAGGGCAGAGGTGCAGGTTCCGGCTCCCGCCTTCCTGTGTGGAGTGTGCATGTTCTCCCCGAGCCTGCGTGGGTTTTCTTCAGTTACTCCGGTTTCCTTACACATTCCCAAAACATGGATGGCAGGCTATTGGAACACGCTAAATTGTCCCTTCAGTGTGATGGTGAACGCAAATTGTTGTTCGCCTATGTGCGCCCTGCAATTGGCTGGCAACCAGTTCAGGTGAGGTTAAGCGAATTAGAAAATGTTACAAGTGTCTGAACATTCTACTCCTTACATTGTCAAAACAGGCCAGCTCCCATTTGCACAGGTGAAGACATGATGTGAAAAAGATGTAAATAGAGAGAGCTATAATGTCAACTGCAATTGACATGTTGGGGTCTCAAAAAGAAACAAAAAACATTTTATTAGTGTAATGTAAAACAGGTAGCATGAACAATGAGGGCAACCGATTAGGCTTTGTTCCCCATACATGGCCTTATTCAAAAAAAGAAATAATTGGTGGTGAATATGTTGTGCATTATATTAGCCTAAAAACCACCATCATCTAGCATTAAGAAAGTTATTTGTCAATTTCACATTTTTCTTTTGTTTGCTAGTCATTACACAATGTTAGCAAAGCTATGAGAAAACGTTTTTATTCAAATCAGTATTTCTTCCTTCTCAGTATGAGCACTTATTTTTTTTCCCATTATGCCAAGTTATTAAAACTGGTATTTTATACTCCGTGGTAATTATTAGTGAAGGACGCAGTTGGTGGGATTTCTGTTCCAGAATAAAGAAGCTGCAATGGATGCCGAGTCAGGAGAATTTTCCACATGAAATGATACTGTTCAAATGTAGCTAAAACGGCACAAGATTTTGTTGTTGTTTTTGTTTGTTGACAAGTCTGTACCATTACTTACTGTTAGTACAGAGTATGAGTAATATTAATAATAATAATAATATTTAATAATAAATCCACACGAAACATCCATATTCAGTTGGTCATTTGAAAAATTAAAAGGTGTCATGGCTAACAACCTGTTTTTTTCTCCCTCTGTAACCCTAATACGACATCCTCCAGATTGACGAAAACCAGAGAAGAAGCAAGCGTTGAGTCTAATGTGATTATTTAAGCACTTTAAGCCATTAACAAAAGGGGCCGTTTAATCCTTTAGAAGAGAAGTTAGTAATACTTTAATTGGCTAAATTGCCGCATTAGTGTGAATGTCACAAATGTATGAATTCAACCCAGACAGAGACCGAGGGGCCATTTCAATGAAAATCGAAAGTGGGGGGTGGGTCGTGGGGGGATCATATTTGCCACATATGACGCCGATGGATCACACTCAAGCATGGACTGCGGGCAGGAAGGAAACGGAGCGCTGCAGCAAATTGGAGACGCGGCGCAAAGGACTCAGCGGCAAGGTAAGCAATCATTAGCGTGCGTATGAAATGCTGTTTAAGTGGTTATTCCTTATCAATCATATCTATCTTAAGGTTCTTGGACTAGTACAACTCTGCACTTTGTCAGTACAAGGAGGACAATTTGGGCATACTACCAAGAGAATTGCATGTTACTAGCGAGGCAAAAGTGCTGATATTTGTGCGTTATTGGTGACTTAATGCGCTGTGGAAATGTGACATCACCAAGTAGTGGCCTGGCATGCACATTACAGCATTTTTAGCTGCTTTTTGCGGTTCGGGTCAACTCCATTTTTGCCCTCATTATCTCGACTTTAAAGACCCAAATAAAAACAAGGAAAGTCCCATGGTGTGATGTCGGAACCACACTTTTGAAAGGCCATTCGCATATCCAACCACAGCCATGGCGGCAACAACCCCAAAACAACCCCTCTTTATATGCAAGCCACTGTTTATTTACATGCGGTGCAGCGCTAACAATGCGCCTTGTCAACGCTTTAAATCCGCCGGCACCCGCGCCCTTTGACACACATCGGCCCCTCTAAGCCAGGCCACGTTTGGTACGCATACACAATATAAAAACAGAGAGAGAGAGAGAGAGAGACATCCATCCCTGAGGACGACCAATGGTTGCAGAGATGCTGGGAGGGAGGGGTGGAAACTGGGAGCGAGGAAGGGAGGGTGGTTGTATTTTCTGCTGGTTGGGTGGGACGAAAGAGAGAGAGGGAGAGAGGGAGGTATAGAAAGGGGGGATGCTGCAGTCCCGTCCACTCACATCTCACTCCACCCAGCGTCACAAGAACGAGCGAGCGAGCGAGCGAGGGTGACGCGCGCGCCCAGCAGTATGTGCGCGCCCACGGGAGGGGCCAACAGAAAATGGCGAGTCTGTGCAAGCGGCAGCAATGCACACTAGAGAGGCGCGGCTTTCGGCAGGAGCTTGACTCGTGGAGGCACAAACTCATTCACTGTGTAGGTAAGCTCGCTTGGAATTGCGCGAGTGTGGGCAAGCGACTCGGCGGAGCTGTCATCGTGTTTGTCTGCGTGCGCGTCAAGCGGACGCTCGGGAACTTTCGCAACGTGTGGTCGTGTTGCCGTCAAAGGGGTCGAGTCGTTTTCCCGTGTTCTTTTTGAAATTTTCATTCGAAAGCGTTTGGTTCCCGAGCTGTTTATTTATCGTGGGCGTCACGTGCTCTCCCGGAGCCGCGCCTCGGCCAATCAGCGTGGCCACTGTGTCCGCGTGCCCGCGCACCGGCCGGCCTTTTTGGTTCGAGGGAGGAGGACGTGCGCGCTCGCGATTTCCAAACATGACCCCCACCCACCTCCTTCACTCCCCTCTTCTTAATGGGCTTTTGGGAGCGCGCATTGCTGCGCTGGGAATGTCAAGAGATATTATTATTATTATGCGCAGTTTGAAGTGTTTCTTCATTGTTGTTGCTGTATTCTTTTGTTTTTATTTTGACCCCCCCCCCCCACCCCACCTCACCCTCCCCCTTTCCTGGTCCTCCTCCCTCGCCTCAACCTCCATTTCTAGTGTATTTCATTAGCTGGCGTTTTAATCCGGTTACATCCAGCCGTCCCGATGTTATGTCAAGATTATCGTCCACTCCGCCGGTGATCCCACGACCTCGCCGGCCTAATCCGCCTTTTACGGCGTCCCCGAGCGGGAAGCGGGAGTGCGGTACAGGCGGCATTGGCGGGGGGGGGTTTGAGTTTTTTTTTTTTTTTTGGAGCAGCAGTGTCCAGATGTTGTGCATTGAACCGTCACCTACTTAGGGACCACTCGGCTCCTTCTTCCCAGCAGATTTTTAGCCAGCAAAGCTCCTTGTGAGAGGATGATGAGGATGAGGAGGGAGTGATCTCCACGAAGAATGTCACTTTAATTCCTCATCATTGTACAGTTCATGTATTTATTCCATGGGGTGCACATGGTATCTGAAAGCATCTTTCAATGAAATGCATCACATATATTGATCATTTCAAACACGTGTTGGTCTTTCATGACAAAGTACGTATTTACATGCCGTATATATGTTCACTTTGGATATAGCTTTAGTGTGTGGCTGACATTTCCTTCACAAAATTATTCAAGTCCATATTTACCATGCTAAATTATGCTATGCTATTATTACATGTCTGTCTATCTCTCCATCGATGCTAGAAACCCAAAGGGAAGATATTCTGGATCCACACTGTGCTATATATATATCTATATAGATAGATAGATATAAATATCTATCTATATATATCTATATATCTATAGATATATAGATATATATATCTATAGATATATATCTATCTATCTATCTATTTATCTATCTATGTGTATATATATATATATATATATAGGTGTATTAACTACTAGTTCCCTTTAAAACTACAAATTTCCTTTAGTCGTGCTATATTATACCTGTAACTATTTTTCTCTATCTATGCTCCGGTTTCTAAAATGCTATGCCTTACCTAACTAGCTTAGCTATGTGTTGTTGTATCGGTATCTGTTGTGCTGTCGTCTCATTTGCAACACCGACCGGGCTTTATTGAGTTTTCAGTTCAGCTGTCTACTTTTTTTTTTGGGTAATTCTAGGCTCGGCTATCTTGTTATTTAACTGTCCCTCCGTCCATCCACCCACGGAACATATACCTCTTTAAATATAAAAAAGTGGAAGATGACAAGGTAGCATCGTTCGCCTCAAATATTAGCCTTCACACATGCTTGTTGCCCATTCCTGATCACTACAACAATTCCGAGCTGGTCCCAAGCCTGCATAAAAATGGGTGGGTTGTGTCAGGAAGGGCGTCTGGCGAGAAAAAACCCCAAAACAAAAACAATGCTAAACAAATCATGCAAGTAACTCATAGTGGCGACACTTGACAGGGAAAAAGCTGAAAGTCACTTCTGTGATAATTCACACAGGAGATGTGTATCAAGCTACCCATCTAGCTCAGCTAAGCTATCGATGCTATTCAACGTTCTCTGATATATTTACCTACTGTATCTAGCGAGCTGTGAAGCTATGATATGCTGTGTCTCATCAGTCTATCAGTCATTTCAGCCATCTGGCCCTCTTTCCGGGAAATGATTCCATCCTGACAGGCAACAAATCGTCCTGTATCGATATTACACAAGGCAATATCTGTATAGGGAATCTGTGCCATGCTACGCTATTTCTCTTCGAGGTAGTTGTCCATGTAACAAGTGACCTACTTCCTGTTTTGTGTCCCAATTTGGGATATGTGTCACCAGAAGTGGAAGCGCTTTCTTTTGGGATTCCCAGCTCACCTGCCGGTTCGAACCATCATTCCTTCCTTCTCCTTTTGTCCCCTCTCCTTCATTTTTATCTCCCTTTCTTTCTCCCAGTCTCAACGACTGTGGTGGCTTTCAAAGCTTTTAAGCCTGCGTTTATCAACCGAGATTGTGGGCTGACATGTTTGTGGCTTTGAGGGCTAATTAGCGGCCAGGCGCAGGTTCGCGTGTACTCAAATGATGAGCGCTACATGTTAGCTCAGGTCGGATTGTTCAACAAACGGACGTGAGCCTTCTCTCGGGCTGCAGCAAGTGTCTCTTGACTGATGACCTAACTTCTACATTAGCATGAAGGCATTTTTAACGTTGCTGAAATCGCAGTACTGTTATTATGGCAGTTGTAGATGGCTGTAAATGTTTTTTGAATGACATCACTTGTTTATGTGTAATTGCTAAAAAATGATGCTACGGCTAAAAATCTCGGTGGTTTTACCATTTATCTCCACCAGAAGAGTCTAAAATCAAACGGGACGTGGGTTGTCTTAAAATAGACACTTTTTACAATAGTGCCATTGTTTCTTATATTGGTGCTGTTTACGTGTAAATGATGCCACGCTACTTCACAAGCAAAATAACTATTTTGGTCCACTTTTCCATGCCTTACATTTACCAACACGCGTACGTTCTAGACTGCTAAAAAACATCAGCCTGAAAATGCTATCTAGTCCCGATGCTGACAGGCTGAAAATGCCAAAATTTCGAAAAAGTGGCATTTCTGTTGTTGTTCCAATATGATTGAATTTGGTCTTCTAACATCCTGCTTTATATTGCCGTCGTATACCTTTGCTACCTCCATTATCCCAAAATCATGTCCAGTTTCTAATTTAAAGCACACAATAAATAAATAAATAAATTGCCGTCATTGATTTAAAATTGTGTAATTCTGCGCCAGCTCGCAAGCGTTAGCAGCCAGCGACTAGTTCTTGGTGGGCAGTCTTTCACGCCCAGCTTGTCTGCTGGCTGGCTCGCATGGCTACGCAGCTGCCAGAAGCGGCGACTGCGCAGATTGGGCCGTGACAGCTGGCGAACTGCCTTTCAAAGTTCTGGTGCCGCGGGGAAAGCAATAAATAAAACGATGAGCGGTTTAATCGGCCAAAATGAATCTGCACACTTACCTTTGATGCCGCCAGCCCGAAACAAATTTGCGACTCAAGTGTTGACAGCGATTTATTTTCAACAAACTGAAATAGTTTCACTTATTAGTGTCCAAAAAAACTCCAACTCCAGGCCCCCCTTATGTAGATTAATTATCCTGTTTAAATCTTATTCAATAAATGATAATGAAAGAACCATTTTGTGATGATATAAAATGTATGCTTGTTTTAAAATTTGGCGATCAAAAGTTAGGGTTCAGTTTCCCTTTATCAAGTAAAACAACCACGGTGCATTTTTCCATCAGTTACGGGGCTCACGTACATTTTAAAACTCAGAAAAGGTTATGGAAAAGACGCTTTTAGTGTTTTCCTTGTGCCGTAACATGATTCCGCATTGATGCTATTGTGCTGCAGGACCGTTTGAAAATGCCCTCGCAACATTTTGTTGTCTGTACACGCATGAGTACTTTAAATGCAATAAATGCAAATCAACAAAACGCATGTTGTCACAATATAGGCTTGTGTGCGCATGACACCTTGTTTTGTGTGTGTGTGTGTGAGCGTGTAATTTGCACATTCTTTTTCCAATTTTATTTATTTATTTTTAGATCTTCAACACCTCCCCATCTCCTCACACTGAATTAAACAGTCGTTTCACGCCTTGTGTGTGTGTGTGTGTGTGTGTGTGTGTGTGTGTGTGTGTGTGTGTGTGTGTGTGTGTGTGTGTGTGTGTGTGTGAACTGTGCACACACACTTAGCGTAAAGTATTAGCAGATAAGACGGCAGCTAAATGTCATCCAAAACACACTACGTTAATTATTAAGCCAAGTGGCAGGAAGAGGCAAATTCTACTGTGTTAGTTTGTGCTCTGACGGCTTAATTTTTGTGTGTTAGAAGCTAAACAGCTAGTTTGACTCTTAACGGATGTCAGTTTGAGTTGCGCGATTGTATGTCAGTCAAAACAAAACCAGCAAACCTCACTCCCCAGTGCCTTCTGGGCGACGAGCTGGCGACCCGGTATTTTTAGCTCAGCAATGAGCGTTCTTCGCTCCCAACCTGTGGTCAGGTCGCAGGTTCCATTCCCGAGTTGAGTGGATGACGCAGGGTAAAAATGCCATCTGAGGTCCTTCAAACTAAAATGTTCGGTATTATATGGGCCTAGCATGCGAGGAGAATCCTAACTCATTTTCACTTAGCCAGCATCTTATTTCTCAGTGCAGGAATCAATTTGCGATGATTGTTTGCCCTTTTGCGGTTTCATTGGATTGTGTGTTGCATCAGCTAACATTCTATTTTGAATCTTTAAAGTTAACATGGTACAGAGCATGTTAGCTCGGCTTTGATCACTCAACTTCATGAATAGGACATAAATGAGTCTGTTGTTGTCGTTTGTTGTATCAATGAGCTAGTCTGAGTTCATTCAGAACCTGAATGACATTTTTGTTTATTGTGCTACTCTACTCTGGCTTTCATGTGGTGGGTCTTCCAAAAGCTAACTTGCTAGTTTAAATTTTTGCAATCTCGCATGCTTACGAGCATTAACTCAAGTGTTGCAATACATCAATGAGTTCATTT